CAGCAACAATCAAGAACATATAAGTCACTCTTTAGCTGAAAGCAATAACCGCCTCATTAAAATGCAAATGTCAGCACCTGGGAGAGTGGCAGCTCGAGCTATTATCAGCCATTTCCACATCAGTTACAATCTGAGCTCTTTGGATACTGTATTTCCTGTTCTCTGAGGCCCAGAGGTTTGGTGGTGAGTGTAGGGCCTGGGAAAATCTAGGGACAGGTTCCCTATGGCCAACTGCGAACTTCTTAGCATCTTTGATTTCCAAGCCAAGGAAGCCAGAGGTTAAGAATAAGAATGCTGGCCTGGCTGGTGTGGCTCAGTGGTTGAGCGTCGACCTATAAATCAAGAGGTCAGGGCACATGCCCAGGTTTCAGGCTCCATCCCCAGTAGGGGGCATGCAGGAGGCAGCTGATCAATGTTTCTCTCTCATCGGTGTTTCTATCTCTCTATCCCTCACCCTTCCTCTCTCTCTAAACTCAATAAAAACATACCTTTAACAAAACAAAACAAAAGAGTAAGAGGGCTGTCTGTAGTCCTTGGTTTCTCCTCAGGGCTCCTGGTGGGGGATGGGCTAGAGTGGAGGATAACTCCAGGGACCTCAGCCATCTTACCCCGATGGCTAACACGCTGGGCCCCAAGCCTCCGTGGATGACCTACCCTCATGACACTTGGTGCTCCATCCTGTTAGCTCTTTTCTGACTTGGGTATAACAATAAGTTCATCTCTCTTAGGAAAGGTAAATCATCTAGTTTGAAGCAAGGGGCTTGCTCTTAAAGTGCAAATGTCCAGAAGAGGTGGATACATGTTTGGGAATGGGTTGTTCTTTAAGATTTCTTCACCCTCCAGAGAGCCTTAGGGTTCTTAGAATTCTTAATTCCTTGTGCATAACTCGTTACAGTGGGCAAAGTTCATTTTCGACTCTCAGTTCCCAATTGGCTTTCATGTCTGCCTTCCTCCCACTCCAGCCCTTTTCTGGCTCTATTTGCTTTGGGAAATGCTCAGTGGTCCCAAGTGTCCTCTCCTGCCACTCCCCAACACGTCCCCACTCCCGAGCATAAGCAGCCATGCTCCTAGTGCCTCCAACGGTGCATTAGTGGGGGAAGCCTGTTGGTGAGCTCCTTCATACTGACTTGATAATGACTGATAAGTGGTGGCATAAGTCCTTTAATCCCCCAGGGGTATCTGTATTTATTTTATTGAGATATAGTTTACATGCCATAAAGTTCACCTAGTAGTCAATGCAATTCTATGCTTTTTAGTGTATTTATTGAGTTGTGCAATCATCATCATAATTTAATTTTTAGAACATTTTCATGATCCCCAAAAAGAAATCCTGTGCCCATTTAGCCATCACCCTCCATTCCTCTCATGGCCATGTGGACCACACTGGACACTGGCTTTGCTTCTAGCTCTGCTGAATCACCAGCTTCCCCTTTTCCAGGACTGGTTTAAGGGAAATGGGAGTTTGCAAACCCAGCGATGTAATTCTGCTGCCAGAGAAATCAATGGGCCCAACTTCCCCGACACTAGTGGGAGTGGGGTTCTTACGATATCTTTAGAAAATGGATTTTCTAAGACTTGCCTGGGAGAGTGAGTGGTTTTTATTGGCATGAAATTATATTCCTCGGGTTGTAAAGTCCCATTATCCTTACACAGTTCTTGAAAAGATGTAGCTGCCAAAAGTAGGGCCAGTGTCCAGAGTGTCCATTCCATGATGGAATTGAGTCCAGTACAGCATTAGGCTAATCACAGTCTCTTAGTCCATTGTGTGGAGTCCGCATGGCTGTGGGCCATGTGGGCAAGTGCAGGGTGTGCAAGCCCCACAAGACAGGAGTCAGGTGTGAACAGAGAGAGAGAGAGAGAGAGAGAGAGAGAGAGAGAGAGGGAAAGAGAGAGAGACTCCTTTGTTCAGGAGCTTAAATATCAAATCTTGCTGTGCTTGTAGTGGCCACGCCTATTCTGGCCACTGGCTTGTTCCCAGGTGTGATTGACAGATAGGCATCTTCCCAGGTCACCCAGACCTTACTGGGCATACATCTATTGTCCAGTCCCTTCTCCCACTGATTTGGGGGGAACAGGCTTGGAGATGTTAACTGCAGCTTTCTGGTAAAGCTGTATAAATGGCATGCCTGTATTATCTAGTCTTCCCTTTACTCCTTTCTGTTATTTAATAACCTGGTTATTATAATGGTATCAATTCCATGCAAATAAAGCTTTCTACCACATCTCATCCTCCAGGGGGAGCCTCCGGAAGTGCTTATTCCATTGGTACCCCAAGAAACCCACTCCCACTAGCAACAGAGAAAGGCCATCCATGCATTTCTCCGATAACACTGTCTCTACATTTTCCACATCCATTTTTAGGGAATGATTGTCATTCCAAAGCATGACTATCTCATGGTGGAATTTTAAGCAATGTGGGGGAAGGTAATTTTAGGTAGTTTAAGAGAATTTTTAGGTAGGGGAGTATTGCTGATATCAACTTCTACAAATACTTCTAAATATTCGAAAATTTCCCAAATGGAAATATTCTTCCCAAAAAAGAGCCTGGGGGGTGGGGGGGGGCGGTGAATAAAGAATAAAGTACTAAAAGTAACCAAAGCACAAGGGAGAAGATGGCTGGAAAGGTTAAGGGTATCTGTAGATCTAAAAAACAAACAAAACAAAACAAAAAACAGCGCGCTGTGTCCTGGGGTGTGTATTACCTGACCTCTGCAAACAGAGTATTCATTTCAGAGAACAGCCTGAGGTGGTCCTTGGGTCAGCCCCTATCTGATGACAACAGCCAGGTGCACATCCTGGAGATGGTCTTCTAAACCTCTGCCTTCTGTTCCTGTGACCTCTGACTCTTTCTTGGTTTTATTCTGACCTTGAGGACTCCTCTTCTATAGAGGGCAAACCCTGGGTTTCCTGGTCAGCCCTCCACAGGTGTCCTCCAGCCAATGGCATCACTTCCATCACCCTGTCATTTTTGGGTTCTACCTACATTTGCTCTGCAATAGCTTGCTTTTCCAATCTAGTTGCATCATTGCCTAGGTTTGCTTCCCAAAATATAATGGAGCAGGACACTCTGGTCCCCGAATTCTGGGGCTCTTTATTATCATTAAACTGAAGCCCACCCTCCTCCACTCAGGCTCAAGAGCCCAATCCACCTTTCCATCTTCACCCACTTTGCCAGTCTCCCCGCCCCCGCCACCCCACAATTTAGACTCCATTCTGCTTACTTATTCCCCATTTGTTTATCCAACAAACAACTACCCGGTACCTCTATGTGCCAGGCAGCAGGCTAGGCACTGGACACAAGAATGAGTAAGATACCAACTCTGCCCTCAAGGAGCTCTGACTGTGGAGATAGTTCTGAAACAAGTCAAGATAATACAATGTGATAAGTGCTATAATAGAGATTAAAAGCAAGGTGTGCTGGGAGCTGAGGGAGAGTGCCTGACAGCCCAGAGGGCGGGGAGGCAGGAGGGGGAGGACGTGAGAGAGGGTTTCACAGAGGTGCTGTACATTTGATTTGTGGTGGTGGGTAATTTCTGCTGAGGCAAAGTGCAGTTCAGGGTGGGTCGGATGACATGGAGAAGTGAACAGCAGAAGCTGGCAGGTAAGAAGAGGTTGTTTCAAGGACAGTTTTCAGTCGAGTATGTGACACTGATGATCATCAGATGGGGGGAAAGTGGAGGACGCATTAGAAGGCAAGGAGGGAAGAGAAGGGAGAGTGGTAATTGTCCAGGTGAGAAGGGAGGGGGGAGGATCTGGGTACAGGTAGTAGCCAGAGAATGTGGAAGGAGAGACATGTGAAAGCCAAGGGCACGGAGGCAGGACTCAGGAACTGGGGTAGGAGGGGGGGAGGGATCACCACTCTAATATCAGGGAGTTTCCAGGATGGTAATTCCATCCTTGGAGAGGAAACAGAGGGAGGAGCAAGCTTTAGTTTTGTTGGGAGAGGACTTTAGTTTTAGAAAATGGAATCTGAGGGTCTGGCGGGCACCAAGGATCCATGGGGAGCTCTCCAGTGGAACTGGGAAGGTAGGCAGGGGCTGAAGATACAGATTTTAGAATCATTTAGAGGAAAAAAAATTGTTTATCCTTTGACCCAGCAATTCTACTTGTAGGAATTTCTCCTAAGAATATAATTAAAGATATGTGTGAAGATTTATCTACAAAAATGCTCATTGTTTAATAACAGTGAAAGAGTGGAAACTTTTTATAAACTGCTATGACAATGAAAAAGGAAAAACAGTAGGGGATTGGTTAAATAAATTACGACATATTCTTGCAATGGAATTCTGTTCAAACAATAAATGAATATTGTAGATGAATGCTTATTGATATGAAAAGCATCCACAATTTTTGCTAAGTAGAAAAAAGCAGATTCTAAAACAACTAGTAGAGTAACATCCCACTTTTTGTTCAAGAAAATAATTAAGATGTTAATGGTTCTTCCCAGGTAGTATGATTAAGAATGTTTTTCTTTCTTTCTTTTCTTTTTTTTTTTTTAGTTTTCTTACATTTAATCATACATGACTTTTGTTCAGAGATAGTGGTTATTTTAAAAATTGAATAAAATTAAAAGGGATGACCTACCAAGGACTCAGGGAATGAGAAGGTTAAGGGTGGAACCCAATCAACTTGCTACATCTGTCTACGCAGTTACCTGTCCTAAGTGTCTCTCTCATATCATGTTTGCTACATGGCTATATGGTAGAGTACAAGTAGCAGGCTACCAACTGTGGGCATTGGGCAAACTTTTGATTCTCTAGTTCTGTTTTCTCATGTTTATTTATTTATTTATTAACATATATTTTTATTGATTTCAGGAGGAAGGAAATGGGAGAGAGAGATAGAAACATCAATGATGAGAGAATCATTGATCGGCTGCCTCCTGCACGCCCCACACTGGGGATCCAGCCAGCGCAACCCAGGCATGTGCCCTGACCGGGAATGGAACCAGAACCTCCTGGCTCACAGGTTGATGCTCTACCACTGAGCCACGCTGGCTGGGCTGTTTTCTCATGTTTATAGTAAGGAGAATAACACCATCCTCAAAATGGTTCTATGATAATAAAACGTTTAGACATACAGTAGCTACTTAATAAATATTAGTCCCTTTTCCCTTTCTTTTTACTCATTTTTCCTTGCTAGGCCCAGATTTGACCCCCAGAGGTGTTTTTGGCCCTCACAATGGAAGTTAATGACTCTTCTCTCTGAACCCCGTAAGTGCTTTGCTTGGACCTCTGCTGAACACTGACGGGATAATGCTCTGAACTGAGTTACTGCTATCTGGTCTCCCCTGACTGTAGCTGCAGTTGGGTCAGCTATCCTGGTAGCACCTAGCACATAGGGGGTGCTCTATGAATGTTTGTTGACTATATTCATGGTGCTTTTATGACTTAGCTAATCATGGGTTACTCAAAGGCTGGATTACTCAAGGGTTAATTGATTCAGATCTCTTGGAATTTTTCTCCCAATTTTTAACCCTGGCAAGGTTTATCTTCCAATCTGCAGCAAGATGACCAGCAGAGAGCGAAAGTGAAGCTCACTCACACCTCTAGGTTCCTTTCAGCTCTGTAGAGAGCAGGATGAAGAGGAGTACAGGGAAGGTTGGTTGTGGTTCCCCCACCCTCTGTGTTTAGACTGCCGGAACTTTCATCAGGAGAGCTTGTGGCAAGAGGAATCGGATGGGTGTATCATTCCACATGCCTAGGTCCTCTTTGACCCTAGGTCCTCTTAGTCAAGTCCTTCTCTCCACCCCTGCCTCTTTGTCACTGGTCATTCTCTGCTCCCTCCTCTGTCGCGTCTAGCGGAGGCTCTACTTTGCTCTGGTGCCTACACTTCCCGACCACACCTTGCGAGGTAGGTGAAGCAGTCTCCTGCTGACAGATCTTTCGGTTGCAAGTTAGGAGACCTGTTTGACCCGCGGAAAGTTGATTAAGCTCTTGAAGCCTCAGTTTCTGCATCTAAGAACTGGGAATAATCACACGGGCCTGTCCCGGTCACATCCCAGGGTGGTTGAGGGAAATCAAATGAGATTTTTAAAGCATACACTGGCAAAGAGCTCTACATAGACGCCAGGTGTTCCTACTGCTGTCTGTGGGGCTCCCTCTCCTACCTACAGACCAAAGCGGTCCTGTCCGCCCCGCCCTGGCTGCACCGGCCTCGCCCACTGCATCTCCATCTTTTCCGTCATTGTCTTTCTGCGCCTCGGAGATGCTGGGTCTCTCCACCTCCCCTGTACATTTCCGGGTCTGGCTCTTGGGCCCCTCTAGCCCCTCGGGGGGCTGTGGTCTCCAGCTCCTGGCGGCAGTCGCTGCCCAGGCGCCCCCCGCCCTGTGCACCCTCCTTTGGCACGGCCACAGGGCCAGAGAATCGCCCAATAAGAGCGCTGGGCTCAAGTCTGACAGCTCAGGAAGCGGCCAATCGAGCCGGGCCAGGGAAGGGGGCGCAGTGCTGGGGCTGAAGTTGGGTTGCATAGGGGGAGGGGGACTAAAGGGGGATACAAAAGAGGGGAGATAGGACTGGGGCACAAAAACGAAGGCGGGGGGTGGGGAGGGCCGCGCTCCACCCAGGTCTGGCCAAGGGACCGTGGGCTGGACGCGGCTCCAGGAACCAGAGGGAGGGGGCTCGACGAAAATTTTAGGTGAGAAAGAAGAGCTGGGTTCCACGCGGCCCCCGGAGCCGGGCCTGAGAATGCCCACGGGGCGCCGAGGCGGGGGCCGCGGCCCGGCCCGGGGCGGAGGCGGCCGCAAGTCCTTGTGAGCCGAGGCCGGATCGCGCGGGGGGCGGGGAGGCAGCGGGAGGAGGGGATGCGGAATTCTGATCAGCTTGGGTCTCACGGCGACTCCAGGAGAGACTCACCTGCTCCACTTCTGTGCTTTCCGAACATGCGCTGCCTCCTTCTAGTATACCACTCTGCTCTGCTGTGTTGTGACAATTGGTTCTCTTAGCTGTATCTCCTGCAGGGACAGCATCTAATTTCTCTGTGTTCCAAAGCACCTGGCACAGTGTCTGGCATACAATGGATTCTAAATAAATGTGGAACAAATGAATGAATGTTATATGAATGCTTCTCCCCCATGACCACTTTTGCAGTTCCTCACTGTGGGACAGAACCTCATCAGTTGAATGGAGGCCTACAAAGTTATATGGGAGGGTCTGAGAAAACCACTTTGCTACCCTGAATATTTTTCTCATTGATGGAAAACAAAGAATGCCTAAGAGAATCTCATTTCACTTTGACTTATTTCTTTCCCCTTACCTTTGATCATGACACTCGGAAACCGATTCATTATTGGGGCTATTTTTTTTAGCCGAATTTGTAAGAAAGGGAAACAGGAAAAAGTATATAGAGATTTCCACATATC